TCATTTCAGTTATTCTATTTAAGCTCCAGACTTTCTTTTTGATTCCTTTTTATAATCTTTATCTCTTTATTGATATTCTAATTTTGTTCATACATTGTTTTCCCATCTTTATCCATATCTCCTTTAGCTCTTTGCTAAATGATGTGTCTTAAAGGAGCATCTGTAAGACAGTTGTAGGGGCTGGCCCTGTGGCTGAGTGGTTAAGTTCACATGCTCTGCTTCAGCAGCTCAGGGTTTCACCAGTTCAAATCCTGGGCGTGGATATGGCACCACTCGTCAAGCCATGCTGAGGCTGCATCCCACATGCCACGACTAGAAGGACCCACAACTAAAAATACACAACTGTGTACCAGGGGGAAGAAAAAGGAAAAATAAAATCTTACAAAAAAAAAAAAGACAGTTGTTTTCAAGTCTTTGTCTAGTAAATCTAACATCTGGGCTTCCTCTGATACATATTATCTCAGTTTCTTTTGTTCCTTTGCATGGGCCATATTTTGCTGTTTCTTTGTATACCTTGTGATTTTTTTTGTTGAAAACTGGACATTTGAATCATGATGTGATAACTCTGGAAATCAGATTCTCCCTGTCCCCCAGGGTTTGCTGTGTTTTTTATTGTTGTACTGTCTGTGTGCTGTGGATCAGACTGAGGTGAAAGCTTCAGATTTCAGGTCTTTTCTGAGGCTATGTCTTTTCTTGAGGAAGCACATTGGCTTCTACAATACTGTGTTTTTGCAGTTGTTTTTGAACTTTAAAAAAAAAATGCTTTACCTTTATATCTCCTGGAAGCTGCTTCAGCTGGTGGGGATTGGAACAGTGGCAGCCAGCCTTTACCTGCATGTCAGCCATCAGAAGTTGCAATCCATAATCAAAACATATATCTTGATATTTATCGTCTACCCTAACTCCAGCAAGCCACACCAAAACCACAGATTGCTGTCCCCACAGGTGCCTACCATGGGGCTGGGAGCTAAGTAGTTACTACTGGCTGAAGGCTGAAATTGACCTATATTAACCACAGTTTACCATCTAGGCCTTCCCATGGAACCTACAAGTGTTCAGACAGACTTCAGGGTTCCAAAATAGTTATTTCAGATAGATTCTACTAGTACGATTGTTGTCTAGGTGGAGAGATGGATTTCTGGTGCTTCCTACTCTGCCATTGTCCCTGATATCATACCTCAATGATTAACATTTTTTAAAGAACTTTATCATCTATATCCAGTTTGATAGTAGGGCCCACTTCAAATATTATTTTTATATCCCTCTATGATCCCATACTGGATTTTAAACTTCTTGAGAACAGGGATAGAGACTATTTTTCACAAAGTGGCCACACTATTTTACGTTCTTACTACCAGTGTGTGAGAGTTTCAATTCCTCCACATTCTCTGTCTTTTTGTTATTCTCTGTCTTTATTTTCTTTTAGCCATCCTAGTACCTATGTAATGGTATTTCATTGTGATTTTTATTTGCATTTCCCTAATGACTAATGATGTTGATCATCTTTATATGTGCCTATTGGCCATTTGTATATCTTCTTTGGAGAATTGTCTATTCACATCCTTTGCCCACTTTTTAACTGGGTTTGCCTTTTTACCATTCAGTTGTACTTTTTAAATACATTCTAGATACAAATCTTTTTGCAGATACATGATTTGTAAAAATTTTCTCCCAGTCTGTGAGTTATCTACATAAAAGTTTTCAATTTTGATACATTTCAATTAATCTTTTTTTTCTTTTGTTGCTTGTGATTCAGGTGTAATAACTAAACAACCAGTGCCAAACCCAACATCATGAAAATTTATTCCTATATTTTCTTCTAAGAGTTTTATAGCTTTAGCTCTATCATTTAGATATGTTATCCTTTTCGAGTTAATTTTTTTTTTAAGATTTAATTTTTTCTTTTTTCTCCCCAAAGCCCCCTGGTACATAGTTGTATATTCTTAGTTGTGGGTCCTTCTAGTTGTGGCATGTGGGGTGCCACCTCAGTGTGGCCTGATGAGTGGTGCCGTGTCCGCGCCCAGGATTCAAACCGACGAAACACTGGGCCACCTGCAGCAGAGCGCGCGTACTTAACCACTCGGCCACGGGGCCAGCCCCTCGAGTTAATTTTTATATATGGTGTGAGGTATGGCTGCAACATCATTCTTTTGTATGAGGATATACATATAGTTCTGCTAGCACTATTTGTTGAAAAGACTGTGCTTTCTTACATGAATTGTCTTGGTACCATTTTCAAAAATCATTTGACCATAAACGTGTGTGTTTATTTCTGGACTCTTCATTGATCTATATGTCTATTCTTATGCCAGTACCACACTGTCTCAACTGTTGTACCTTTATAGTAATTTTGAAATCAGGAAGTGTGAGTTCTCCAAATTTGTTCTTCCTTTTCCAGATTATTTTGGCCATTCTGGGTCCTTTGCATTTTCATATGAATTTTAGGATCAGATTGCCAGTTTCTGCAATAAAGCAAGCTAGGATTTTGACAGGGATTGTGTTGAATCTGTAGATCAATTTGGGGAATATTACTGTCTTAATAATATCAGGTCTTCCAATCCATGGACATGGCTGTCTCTCCATTTATTTAGATCTTCTTTAATTTCTTTCAACAATATTTTGTAATTTTTAGTGTACAAGTCTTGTACTTCTTTTGTTAAATTTATTCCTAAGGGGCCGGCCCAGTGGTACAATGGTTAAGTGCACACATTTCGCTTCACCGGCCCAGGGTTCGCCGATTCGGATCCCAGGTGCGGACATGGCACCACTTGGCACACCATGCTGTGGTAGGCGTCCCACATATAAAGTAGAGGAAGATGGGCATGGATGTTAGCACAGGGCCAGTCTTCCTCAGCGAAAAGAGGAGGATTAGCAGCAGATGTTAGCTCAGGGCTAATCTTCCTCAAAAAAAAAAAAAATTTATTCCTAAGTATTTTGTTCTTTTTGATGCTATTGTAAATGTAATTGTTTTCTTACTTTTATTTTCAGGTTGTTTATTTCTAATGTATAGAAATTCAATTAATTTTTTAATTTTAATTTTAATTTAGTTTAATTTAATTTAATTTTTATTTTTTTGAGGAAGATTAGCCCTGAGCTAACATCTGCTGCCAATCCTCCTGTTTTTGCTGAGGAAGACTGGCCCTGAGCTAACATCCGTGCCCATCTATCTCTGCTTTATATGTGGGATGCCTACTACAGCATGGCTTGCCAAGTGGTGCCATGTCCGCACCCGGGATCTGAACCGGCAAACCCCGGGCCACTGAAGCAGAATGTGTGAACTCAACCACTGTGCCACCGGGCCGGCCCCTCAATTAATTTTTATATATTAATCTTGTATCCTGCAACCTTGCCAAACTTATTAGCTCTGATACTTCTTAAGTGGATTCCTTAGATTTTTCTATATGCAAGATCATGTCATCTGAAAATAAAAATAGTTTAACTTCTTCTTGTCTAATCTGGATGCCTTTTCTTTTTTTTTCTTGCCTAATTGCCCTGGCTAGAACCTCCTGTACAGTGCTAAATAGAAGTGATGAGAATGGACATCCTTCTCTTGTTCCTGACAACATTCCCTCTTTCACCATTAAGTATTATGCTAACTGTGGGTTTTTCCCAAATAGCCTCTATCAGGTTGCGAAAGTTCCCATCTAATCCTAGTTTGTCGAGTGTTTTTATCCATGTAAGGGGGATGGATTTTATCAAACACTTTTTTTGTGTCTATTGAGATGATCACTTGGTTTTTGCTTTTTATTCTATTGAGAGGATGTATTACATAATTGATTTTTGGATGTTAAAACAACCTTGCATTTCTGATGTAAGTCCCACCTGATCACATTATATAGTTTTTATTATATGTTGCTGGGTTTGTTTTGCTAGTATTTTGTTGAGAATTTTTGCACCTATATTCATAAAGGATATTGGCCTGTAGTTTTCCTGTGATGTGTCTTTGTCTGGTTATATCAGAGTAAAACTTACTGTATAGACTAAGGAAGTGTTCCTGCCTCTTCTGTTTTTTTGAGTTTGTGAAGAGTTGGTATTAATTCTTCTTTAAATGTTCAGTAGAATTACCAGTAAAGCCAACTTGGCTACACTTTTCTTTGTGGGAGGAAGTTTTAAAATTACTTGTTCAATCTGTTTACTTGTTACAGATCTATTCCGATTTTCTCTGTCTTCTTGAGTCAGTTAGGGTAATTTGTGTGTTTCAAAGAATTTGTCCATTTCTTCTAGGTTATCTAATTTGTTGGCATACTGTTGTTCGTAGTATTCCCTTATAACCCTTTTTATTTTTTTAAAGTCAGTAGTGATGTGTCTCCTCTTTCATTCCTAATTTTAGTAATTTGAGTCTTCTCTTTTTTTCCCTTGGTCAGTTTACGCTTCTCAGTTTTTTTGATCTTTTCAATGAACCAAGTTTTGATTTTATTGATTTTCTTTGTTATTTTTATTTTCTCTTTTTCTTTGCTGTTCTTTATTATTTCCTTTCTTCTGCTTGCTTTGGGTTTAGTATGCTCTTCTTTCTCTAGTTTTTTAAGGTAGAAGGTTAGATTATTGATTTGACATCTCCTTTTCTAATGTAGCATTTGGAATTGTAAATTTCCCTCTTAGTACTGCTTTAAACTGCATCCCATAAATTTTGATATGTTGTGTTTTTTTATTTTCGCTTAACTCAGAGTATTTTTTTTAAATTCTCTTTGTGATTTCTTCTTTGACTCATTAGTTATTTAGAAGTGTGTTGTTTTATTTCCACATATTTTTTAATTTCCCAAAATTTTTTTGTTTTTAATTTCTAATTTAATTCCTTTGTGGTTGGAGAGCATACTTTGTATGTTTTTCAGTCCTTTTAAATTTATTAAGGCTTGTTTTATGGCCTAGCATATGGCCTATCCTGGAGAATGCTCCATGTGCACTTGAGAAGAATGTGTATTCTACTATTTTCGAGTGGAATGCTCTATACATGTCTCATTAGGTCTAGCGTTGTTCAAGTCTTCTATTTCCTTTCCCCATAGGTGAGACCTGGAACCCCTTCAAACTACAGTACCAACTGAGAAATGTAAGAGAGAGAATTGCAAAGAACCTAGTAGAGAAGGGTATTCTAACCACTGAGAAGCAGAATTTCCTTCTATTTGACATGACTACTCATCCAGTGACCAATACAACAGAGAAACAACGACTAGTGAAAAAAGTTCAAGATAGTGTCCTAGAGCGGTGGGTAAATGACCCTCAGCGTATGGACAAGCGAACACTAGCACTCCTGGTGCTAGCCCACTCTTCCGATGTACTAGAGAATGTCTTCTCCTCTCTGACAGATGACAAGTATGATATGGCAATGAATCGAGCCAAGGACCTAGTAGAACTGGACCCTGAAGTAGAGGGAACAAAGCACAGTGCCACAGAGATGATCTGGGCTGTGCTGGCAGCCTTCAATAAATCCTAAAGCCAACAGGTGGGTTTCTCCTTTTTCCTCTACTAGCTGGTGACTGTCAGAGACATCATCACTGAGTTTTGTGTGATGAGATATTTTTCATCAATTTTTTTTCCTTCTTTTGAATCAGACTCATGATTTTGGGAGAGCAATTTCAGGGCTTCTCCACAGACCTTGACCATTATAAGTAGACTTTATTTCTCCCTATACTTCCACTCCAGATGTGAATAACTGGGTGAACCCACACACACCCAATAAACATTTTCTTTCATTTCTTCGTTTACTTTCATCCAATGTGGTTTTGGATACACAGGAATATCTAAGTGGGATTTGGAGTTCTCCAGCCACAGAATGTGAATGAGATGTAGAACAAACCATTTACAGTCATGCATCACTTAACACTGGGGATACATTATGAGAAATGTGTCATTAGGCGATTTCATCATTGTGTGAACATCACAGAGTGTACTTACACAAACCTAGACAGTATAGCCTACTACACACCTAGACTATATGGTACTAATCTTATGGGACCACTGTCATATATGTGGTCCATCGTTGACGGAAATGTCATTATGTGGTGCATGACTGTATTACATTTTTTAAAGTTTGTTTTCTATCTTAAATACCTGTTTTCAGTCTTTGTCTCTCAGACTCTGCTAAGTAATGTAGCTTATTGAAATAACTGTCTCTTTAAATAAGGGGCAATGGAAACAAAACTAATTTTTGGAGCAGATGGTCTCTGGGATTATATGTCCCACTAGGGATTTTCTCATCTTTCCTTTTCTAATCTAATGAGAATATTCCAAATTTGATTTCCTGGTTCTCACAGTCCTAGAACCAGAAATATATTCTATCCTCTTTGTTAGCATTATCCTACTAGATCATTCATTAGGACAAAAGTCTAAATGAAAGAAATGTATCTCTCAACCATGTCCTTCATGCAATCAGCATTACAGTTTGTAAGGGAGGGGTGGCGTCAGAATTTCCTGGCTCCCCTGGACTGTTTTCAGTGGCTCTGCTCTGAGTGAGCTGAGGCCGTTGTAACTTTCGATTGCTAAATAGCAGCATTCAGAGTCCGGACAGAATATCTGAACTCCAGATCTTCCTGTTCCCTATTTTTTGCCTTTCTACATAAATTGATAGATTCTGTCTATATTTAAGGGTTCTGAAAGTAGTTTTGTCTATATTTAATGCACAGACATCCTCCTAGTCATTAGTCTTGTTTCAAGACAACCATCTTTCTAGCCAAATTTCTAAAATGTTTTTTCAATTTAGTAGTGAGTGCAAAGAGAAGCTTAAGAAAAAGTCTAGTTAGTGGGGCAATTGGGTGTCAAAAGTATGCTGCTGATATAAAGTCCAGTATTTGGGAATATAAAGAGGACAGGTAACCAAGTTGTGCTAATATCAAGCATTTATTTGCTGATACTTTTAATGATCCTGCCTCTTGACTATTACAGAGAAACAGGCTGTCAAAGGGCTAATACAGATGCCCCTGACCTGACATCAAATCTTCCTGATCAGAAGTAATTAAATGAATGATTATAACTTTCATCTCCTCCTCCATACATGTCTAGCCCCCCAAAATTCCCCAACTCAATTAACATTTTTTTCGTTTTTCACTTCAGGTATCACTTAGGTGACTAGAGATGCAAATTTTAATGTGAAACAAATTCAAATGTGAGGCTGAGTAGAGCTTCAGTCTGGCTCTAAAAGTACAAAACCAGTCCATGTGTTGTCTCTACCTGGCTTAGTTTTTTTTTTTCCATTTGAACAATTCGGCATGAATTGAAACCAGGTTTTCCTGTGGAAAGTTTCAGCTTGATTGCGGGGGTAGAAGTTGAGTTGAGTTCTTTCTTGCAACTCTTGGTCAGTGTTTATTTTTATATTGTATCTCAAAAAGATATGGATGTCTTCAGTTTGAATCTGCATAATGTTCACGGCAAAACACCTTCTCATTTAATGTACATGGCCTTCTTATTTCTGTATAATAAAGATTATTGGCTCTCTGGTCTCTCTGCAGTTTTACAACTTCAGTTGTTTTAACTGGAAATAAGAACTTTCCACACAAGGCCAGTAACACTCTCCCTTTCCATTAGGATACCAGCCTCTGTTTCATCCTGTGTAGAAAATTATGGATACATAGCTATTATAATTGTAACACATATAGGCTGGGGGGCAGAAGACTAACCTGAACACCAGTTAATGTTGTAAAGTGAATAGTGTCTCCATCTCAATCAAAATGTTACCCAGTTATCCCATTATTACCATGAAGAGAATGAGTATGTTCTGTCCTATTAATATCTACTTGCAAGTGACACTTGAACTTATCTAAGAACTGAGTCTTAAGTTCCAAACATAGATAACATACCTAACTATGACAGAGTTGACAACATGTGGAAAGATAATTGTGCTTGTAACTGGCTTATTGTTCTTCCCTTCTTTATAATGTCTATAGCACAAGGGTGTAGACTATTTTTTTTTTTTAACAACAAAAAACCCCACAGTTTATTTATCTTTTAGTTCTCCAAAATTAAAAATATCAAGTCCTACTGCTAAGGAGAAAACAAATAAAATCTGAAACCGCTCCCCTCCTCTTCTCTTAAAGTCACAGAACACAGACGGAACTACAGTGGGACAGGAGGGTGCATAGAACCAGGAGGGGGAGGATGGCAAGATAACCCCCCCAAATACTTAACAAGCTGTTCAACAGAAACCGTGATAAATATAGAACAATGCAAGACAAGTGAAAATAAGAAATGTATTTACTAGGATTGTTTATACTTCCCTGTTGTTTTTATTTCAGATAAAGCATTGTTCCCATAAGTCATCCTTTATACAGGGTTTCTCAAAGAGTGGAGCAAAGACCACTGCACCAAAATAACCTCTGGAAGCAGGGAGGGTTAACTTGCTAAAATGCAGGTTCCTAGTAAATCAGTCTCTGGGTTTGGGGGCTTAGGAAGCTGCATTTTAAACAGTCTGAAGGCTTGCACATTAAAATTTGAGAACACTGCTTTATTTTATTGCCTGTAATTCATTCATCCAAAAAATATTGAGTATTTAGAAGTTAACTGGCACTTGCTAGGTGCTGACGATAAAAAGTTGTATAGGACACAGTTTCAGCTCCCAAGAACTCACATTTAAGTGGGCAAATAAGATACTTTGTGACAAATGCTCAAATAGAAGTAGAAACTTAATATTTGGAAGTACAAAGAAAGAAGTAACATTCCTCCTGAGAAGTTAGGAAAGACTTAGAGGAGTTATATTTATTTCTAGTAGCTTTCATGTAGCTTTCATGTACTGAGCACTTTTCTCCTGAGCTACTATGCTAACCACTTTATATGTTATCTAATTTAGTCCTCTCAACACTAAAAACACCTATAAGGTTATTTTAAAGAAAACTTGGAGATAATAGGCTTGCCTAAGGACACAGTGCAGTTTGAGTTCAAACACGTGCTTTTAACTACTACTCTCTCCTGCCTCTATTTAAAATTCAGTCGTGAAGAATCTTTTCAGATTGAGAAGGAAGAGCCAAGGCTATTCCCGGCAGGAGAAACAATATGTACAAAATAATTTGTTATGTGCTTGAATTTCATGAATGTGCGTGCTTCTCACATATCTCTAGATTTCCAAAAGGTATCATTCTAAAAGGATATATTCAAGAGATAGACTAAAGACAGGTTTTTGAAACTAACAAATTATCTAATTTTGTTTACCTGCATTTATTCCTTCTGTCATGCTTTTCCTTATATAAAACCAAGGGGGTTTTTGGGTTTTTTTTTTTGAGGGGGGAGGCGGTGAGGAAGATGTTCCCTGAGCTAATATATGTTGCCAATCTTCCTCTTTTTGCTTGAGGAAGATTGAGCCTGAGCTAACATCTGTGCCAATCTTCCTCTATTTTGTATGTGGGTCGCCATCAGAATGTGTCAGATGAGTAGTGTAGGTCTGTGCCCAGGACCTGAACCTGGGAACCCAGGTCACCAAAGCAGAGTGTGCCGAACTTAACCACTGTGCCAGCCCCTAAAACTGATTTTTGACATATCATTTTCCTTCTTCCTTAATAACTTCTTTCAACATTTCATACAGAATTTACAGAGTAAATTCCCTTAGTTTTCATCTGAGAAAGGCTTCAGCCTTCACTTTTGAAGGATAATTTCACTGGATATAGAATTCTAGGTTGATAGGTTATTTTTTGGCAGTTTTCTTTTTTTTTTTTAACAACACGTTAAATATTTTGCTCTACTCTCTTCTTGCATACATGTTTTCTGACATCAAATTTTAACAAAACTATAAAGAGGATTCTAATTAAAAGATAAAAAAAATTTTCCCCTTTTCCACACAGCTAAAATGCCCATAGATATATATACATATAGTTTCTAAAAATGTATTTATTCCCTAAATAATAAAAATAATTGCTTTAATGCTGAAATAAGTTAAGTAAAGCTGATTTTTTATATTTTCCTGTTATCTATTACATATGTGCATGGATCTTTGTTCCTGTGTCCCCAATTCTTCGTAGGGCCTTCATCTCTCTCCTTTTCTCCTTGGTGAGTTCCAGGTTCTATTGATTTGGGAAGAGACAGCCTAGACATGACTTCTTGTTGATAAGTGAGAAAGGGAGCCATCTCTGCCAGAAAGCAGTAAAATTCTCACAGAATGCAAGTCAGACAAAGCATGGGTCACTTCCTGGCAGAAATCTCCTTTTTCTAGCAGCCCAATTCACTGTCTACATTCAAGGTTGTAAAAAAGTAGATTCACCTGGGGGAGGAATCCCTAACAGCTCTTCAAAGAGACATGTTTTTGTGTAGAATTTTTTTGCTTGATTATCAATAGTCTGTTCACCACTTGGTTTTTCTCAACCTCATTGAACCTCCCTAAGTATAGTAGCATATTTTATCTGAACTTTAGAAATTCAGGTAGGAATCTAGGGGCTTCTGCCCCTTTGGGAGGGCTTCTTGACCAAATCTACATGTTTCTACCACATAAGTAAGCCCAGTAGATGTACATCATCTTCCTGATTTGATGGGAAAAAATTCAAAGTTTTTCTTACATATCAGAGATGTTGAAATTCCATCCCCTAATGTAAACATGAGTACTTCTCCAAATATTTCTGGACATTTAAAGCTATAATATCTCAAAATATTTGTGGGTTAGCCTTAATAATAAAAAGCAAAACTTGTTAATTTCCCCAGCTCTGTCACCTCAGCTTTTCTTGAACTCCAGTGGAGGCCAAAAAGGTCTTAGATAACTTAAGTTAAACTAATTAAATGAAATTAGAT